ATTATGGAAGGTACTCTATTGTCGATATTTTTGTTACTCCAATGGATGGTAGCCTTATCATTATGGAAGGTAGTCTGTTGTCGAGATTTTTGTTACTCCAATGGATGGTAGCCTTGTCATTATGAAATGTAGTCTATTGTCGAGATTTTTATTACTCCAATGGATGGTAGTCTTTTCATTATGGAAGGTAATCTGTCGTTATGATTTCTGTTACTCCAATGGATGGTAGCCTTGTCATTATGGAAGGTAGTCTTTTGTTCATATTTTTGTTACTCCATTTGATGGTAGCCTTATCATTACACAAGGTAGTCTGTTGTCCATGTGTTTGTTCCTCCAATGGATGGTAGCCTTATCATTATGGAATGTAGAATGATATAAATATCTTTTTTACTCCAATGGGTGGTAGCCTTGTCATTATGGAAGGTAGTTTGTTGTCGATATTTTTTTTACTCCAATGGATGGTAGCCTTGTCATTATGAAAGGTAGTTTGCCATTGAGATATCTGTTTCTCCAATGTGTGGTAGCCTTGTCATTATGGAAGGTAGTTTGTTGTCGAGAATTTTGTTATTCCGTTGGATGGTAGCCTTGTCATTATGGAAGGTAGTCTAATGTCGAGATTTTTGTTATTCTAATGGATTGTAACCTTATCATTATGGAAGGTAGTCTGTTGTCGAGATTTTTATACTCCAATGGATGGTATCCTTGTCATTATGGAAGGTAGTCTGTTGTCGAGATTTTTGTTACTCCAATGAATGGTAGCCTGGTCATTATGGGACATAGTCTGTTGTCAATATTTTTGTTACTTCAATGGATTGTAGCCTTGTCATTATGGAAGGTAGTCTATTGTCGAGATTTTTGTTACTCAAATGGATGGTAGCTTTGTCATTATGGAAGGTACTCTGTTGTCGATATTTTTGTTACTCCAATGGATGGAAGCCTTGTCATTATGAAAGGTAGTCTGTTGTCGAGATTTTTGTTACTCCAATGGATGGTAGCCTTGTCATTATGGAAGGTAGTTTGTTGTCGATATTTTTGTAACTACAATTGATGGTAGCCTTGTCATTCTGGAAATTAGTCCGTTGTTGATATTTTTATTACTCCAATGGATGGTAGCCTTGTCATTATGGAAGGTAGTCTGTTGTCGAGATTTTTCTTACTCCAATGGATGGTAGTCTTGTCATTATGGAAGGCTGTTTGTCGTTATGATTTTTGTTACTCAATGGATGGTAGCCTTGTCATTATGGAAGGTAGTCTTTTGTTCAGATTTTTGTTACTCCAATGAATGGTAGCCTTGTCATTACAGAAGGTAGTCTGTTATGGATATTTTTGTTACTCCAATGGATGGTAGCCTTATCATTAGGGAAGGTAGTATAATATAGATATATTTTTTACTCCAATGGGTGGTGGCCTTGTCATTATGGAAGGTAGTATGTTGAGATATTTGTTACTCCAATGTGTGGTAACCTTGTCATTATGGAAGGTAGTCTGTTGTTGGGATTTTTGTTATTCCATTGGATGGTAGCCTTGTCATTATGGAAGGTAGTCTGTTGTCGATGTTTTTGTTACTCCAATGGATGCTAGCCTTGTGATTATGGAAGTTAGTTTGTTTTCGTGATTTTTGTTATTCCAATGGATGGTACTTTGTCATTATGGAATGTAGGTTGCTGTCGAGATTTTTGTTACTCCAATGGATGGTATCCTTTTCATTATAGAAGATAGTCTGTTGTCGATATTTTTGTTACTCCAATGGATGGTAGCCTTGTAATTATGGAAGGTAGTTTGTCGTTGAGATATTTGTTACTCCAATGTGTGGTAGCCTTGTCATTAAGGAATATAGTTTGTTGTCGATGGTTTTGTTACTCCAATGGATGGTTTCCTTTTCATTATGAAAGGTAGTGTGTTGTCGATATTTTTGTTACTACAATGGAAGGTATCCTTGTCATTATGGTTGGTAGTTAGTCGTTGAGATATTTGTTACTCCAATGTGTGGTAGCCTTGTCATTTTGGAAGCTAGTATGATGTTCAGATTTTTGTTAATCCAACTGATGGTAGCCTTGTCATTATGGAAGGTAGTCTGTTGTCGAGATTTTCGTTATTCCATTGGATGGGAGCCTTGTCATTATGGAAGGTAGTCTGATGTCAAGATTTTTGTTATTCCAATGTATGGTAACCTTGTCATTATGGAAGGTACTTTATTGTCGAGATTTTTGTTATTCAAATGGATGATAGCCCTGTCATTATGGAAGGTACTCAGTTGTCGATATTTTTGTTACTCCCATGGATGGTAGCCTTGTCATTATGGAAGGTAGTCTGTTGTCAAGATTTTTGTTACTCCAATGGATGGTAGTCTTGTCATTATGGAAGGCTGTTTGTCTTTATGATTTTTGTTACTCAATGGATGGTAGCCTTGTCATTATGGAAGGTAGTTTGTCATTGAGATATTTGTTACTCCAATGTGTGGTAGCCTTGTCATTATGGAAGGTAGTCTGTTGTTGGGATTTTTGTTATTCCATTGGATGGTAGCCTTGTCATTATGGAAGGTAGTCTGTTGTCGATGTTTTTGTTACTCCAATGGATGCTAGCCTTGTGATTATGGAAGTTAGTTTGTTTTCGTGATTTTTGTTATTCCAATGGATGGTACTTTGTCATTATGGAATGTAGGTTGCTGTCGAGATTTTTGTTACTCCAATGGATGGTATCCTTTTCATTATAGAAGGTAGTCTGTTGTCGATATTTTTGTTACTCCAATGGATGGTAGCCTTGTAATTATGGAAGGTAGTTTGTCGTTGAGATATTTGTTACTCCAATGTGTGGTAGCCTTGTCATTATGGAATAGAGTTTGTTGTCGATAGTTTTGTTACTCCAATGGATGGTTTCCTTTTCATTATGAATGGTAGTGTGTTGTCGATATTTTTGTTACTGCAATGGAAGGTATCCTTGTCATTATGGATGGTAGTTAGTCGTTGAGATATTTGTTACTCCAATGTGTGGTAGCCTTGTCATTATGGAAGCTAGTATGATGTTCAGATTTTTGTTAATCCAATTGATGGTAGCCTTGTCATTATGGAAGGTAGTCTGTTGTCGAGATTTTTGTTATTCCATTGGATGGGAGCCTTGTCATTATGGAAGGTAGTCTGATGTCAAGATTTTTGTTATTCCATTGGATGGGAGCCTTGTCATTATGGAAGGTACTTTATTGTCGAGATTTTTGTTATTCCAATGGATGATAGCCTTTTCATTATGGAAGGTACTCAGTTGTCGATATTTTTGTTACTCCCATGGATGGTAGCCTTGTCATTATGGAAGGTAGTCTGTTGTTAAGATTTTTGTTACTCCAATGGATGGTAGCCTTGTCACTATGGAAGGTAGTCTGTTGTCGAGATTTTTGTTACTCCAATGGATGGTAGTCTTTTCATTATGGAAGGTAGTATGTCGTTATGATTTCTGTTACTCCAATGGATGGTAGCCTTGTCATTATGGAAGGTAGTCTTTTGTTCAGATTTTTGTTACTCCATTGGATGGTAGCCTTGTCATTACAGAAGATAGTCTGTTGTCGATATTTTTGTTACTCCAATGGATGGTAGACTTATCATTATGGAAGGTAGTATAATATAGATATCTTTATTACTCCAATGGGTGGTATCCTTGTCATTATGGAAGGTAGATTGTCATTGAGATATCTGTTACTCCAATGTGTGGTAGCCTTGTCATTATGGAAGGTAGTCTGTTGTCGAGAATTTTGTCATTCCGTTTGATGGTAGCCTTGTCATTATGGAAGGTAGTCTGTTGTTGATATTTTTGTAACTACAATGGATGGTAGCTTTGTCATTATGGAAGGTAGTTTGTTGTCGTGATTTTTGTTATTCCATTGGATGGTAGCCTTGTCATTATGGAAGGTACTCTGTTGTCGATATTTTTGTTACTCCAATGGATGGTAGCCTTGTCATTATGGAAGGTAGTCTGTTGTCGAGATTTTCGTTACTCCAATGGATGGTAGCCTTGTCATTATGAAATGTAGTCTGTTGTCGAGATTTTTATTACTCTAATGGATGGTAGTCTTTTCATTATGGAAGGTAGTCTGTCGTTATGATTTCTGTTACTCCAATGGATGGTAGCCTTGTCATTATGGAAGGTAGTCTTTTGTTCATATTTATATTACTCCATTGGATGGTAGCCTTGTCATTACAGAAGGTAGTCTGTTGTCCATGTGTTTGTTCCTCCAATGGATGGTAGCCTTATCATTATAGAATGTAGAATGATATAGATATCTTTTTTACTCCAATGGGTGGTAGCCTTGTCATTATGGAAGGTAGTTTGTTGTCGATATTTTTTTTACTCCAATGGATGGTAGCCTTGTCATTATGAAAGGTAGTTTTCCATTGAGATATATGCTTCTCCAATGTGTGGTAGCCTTGTCATTATGGAAGGTAGTTTGTTGTCGAGAATTTTGTTATTCCGTTGGATGGTAGCCTTGTCATTATGGAAGGTAGTCTATGAAGAAGTGAAAAACATAAGAAGGGGGGTTGAATTGTAAAACTGAAAATCAATGCAATGAACAAGATATTTTTATCCTGGTTCGTTTGATCTCAAACTACTCCAGTCTACCCGTCAAGGTGATTTCGCCTCTCTCCAACGAGGTCTTAATCCACTATATTCAACTGAATATTACAATCTGCTTTAACCACTGCTAAAGCCTTCTTGATGCAAACCACAACCCGGTTTGTCAAGGTAACACTTTCTTACAAAGAAGAGAAATCTAAGTGTGTGAATGTTTTCTACAAAACTGTATCACAACTGTGATGTTACACAATTTAAGCTTATTGAAACTAGATTGCTAAAATACTGAGTAAGGAAATATGAAGCGTTTAGCAAACTGAGAGAAGGAAGATGATGATTAGCTTTTAGGTGTGTAATATGATGTAGAGCATTAGCCAATTCATTCTTCGTTGTGTTGTTTATATAGCACTGAATTTGTTGAACGTTGGAGAAATATTCTTGATTCAATGCCAATAATAAACTTTCCTTATTGAGCAGATCTTGTCTGGAATGATGTCGTTGGTAATAATTCGCTTTGAATGCACAGTACCGTTGCTACTTAAAGTGTGTTCTGGCTTGGCTTCATTCTGACTCTGCTTAAGTGCTGATGAACTGTTGTTGTCTTTATCAGAGTGTTGAGTGCAGTTCTGTTCATCAAGCTTCAGCATACGCGTGAATTGTTCTTTTGATTCTGGTATTCTGATATAGCATCTTCTGATGCTGACGTTGATAACCAATATTCTGATGCTGATTAAGATGTACTTGCTGATACCTATCAGAGTTTCTGTAAAACAGAAGGTAATATTTTAGGTAGCAAATAGTTCTTATATGTATCACATAATTAATATATCCTTTCATTTTGTTATCATCAAAACTTAAACTTAGGGTAGTAGATTCAAACTTTGTTCTAACAATCTCCCCCTTTTTGATGATGACAAAAACTAGATATTTTTAATGGAAAATAACGTGAAGAAGTATCAGAGATAACTAAATGATAAGATGTATCAGAGTAAGAAGTTATCAAAGATAAGGGATAAGGAGATATCAGAGTTGAGAGATCTCCCCCTGAATTTATTACTTCCCTTTTTAATTCCAAGAGATCTTCAGGATCAGATCTTTATTGTCTTTCTTTGATCATCAGAATATCAGAGCTTTGACTATCATAAGCTTTAGATCAGAATATCAGAGTAGAGCTTTCAGATCAGAATGTCAGAGCTTTATCAGAGCTTTGCGTTGGATCAGAGTATTATAGCTTTATTCTTCAGTGAGTTAGAGATCATTCTTGTACCTGTAGACTTAAGCAAAAATAGAAAACATATTCAAGTATATCAGAGTTAGAATGTCTGAGATTTTATGTCTCAGTAATCCGTTATTGAAAAAATATCTTTCTTATTCTCCCCCTTTTTGTCAGCAATCAAAAAGTGTAAGTGAAGTGCTAAAACAATTAGAGCATAAAAACTTGTCATATTAAAAAGTTCATAACCAAACAAAACAGTACAGAAGATATGCAAAGAAAACATGAAAATGGCATGAATGAAAATATAAGGTTGGGGAGGAAGGCATGTGAACAGAGTCTCCAGCATTGCTTTGATCTGATCAGTAGTCTCATTCTGCTTGTGCACCATGCTGACTACTGTGTCTATCTTGCTATGCTGCACATCCATCCTTTCTTTCATCTTCTGGTCATTTTCATCCATCCTTTGCTGCAGACGGATATCATTCAGCTTTAGCTCTTCCAGAGTCTGCCTGTCCATGGCAGCTTGAGAAACATCAGAAGTAGGGAGCTTCTGAGAGCTTTCTGCAACATCTTCAGCTTGACTGGCTTCAGCTTGAATAGTCTGGTCTTCTTCTGGTTGCACCTTTGAATCTGGACGCTTATCAGACCATGGCTCACTATCCAGAAGGAGCACGTCTTCTTTCAGCAGCTGACTTCCAACTTCATTCAGAAGCTTGCTGAAATTCTGCTGTGCTTGCTCATAGTTGATGTCTTGCAATTTTAGAGCTTCAGCACGTACCCAAATTCTGAATTGTGACCAGAGCTGGTCAGAGGCAGCTGGATCAATCATTCTAGGACAGACTTGCTTCAGAGAAGCAATCCACTGCTGCAAACCTGTTTCAAAATTCATAATACCAGACCCAACATCCGGCTGTTTTGGTTTTGGAATGGCTATTTTATTTTTCAGATCAGCAAGACGGTCAAGGATTGTTAAATCTATGAAGGTCCTGCTGGGGTTTTCTGTGTTTTGTTTGGGAGCTGTTTGTTTTGGAGATGGAGTGGGAGAATCAGAGATAATGATTGGACTGTTTGGGGTTTTGGGAGTGTTTGGTGGTGTAGATTCTGGCGAGGATGGCAGCTGGGCCATGGTTACTGTTGTTCCACATGGCAGCTGGATTTCCAGAGGTTGTGGCTCAGATGATTGAGGAGAATGAGGTTCAGGAGATGGAGGAGATGGAGTTTCAGAATGATGAAACTCATGTTGAGGTGATGGTGGATGAATTTCTGGTTGAGAAGAGGGAGAAGGAATTGCTGGTTGTGGAGAAGGAGGAGGAATTTCTGGTTGTTCAGGAATATGTGGTTCTTCTGGAATGGGTGAGAGAGGTTGTTCTGGTTGAGGAGAGTGGACAATTTGTGGTTCAGAGTTTGGATTATTGGAGGGGTGATCAGAGGCATGTTGATCAATGTCAGACAGCACTTTGTCAATTGCTGATGTTGTTGAAATTGTTGGTTTGGATGTTTGGTGCGGGGTCTTCTGAGTTGTAGTGCCTCAGAGGGGTCATCTTCTGGTTCATTTTCATCTATTGTTGGGATAGGGATTGGGATTCTATGAGAAGCTGGAGTTGGGACAGATGTTGGAATAGTAGAAGAATTTAAAACAGAAGCAGCAGATAAGTTACCTCTTTTCTTGGGTGTTTGCTGGGATGTTCCTTCTGAAGGGGCCTTCCTTTTCTTCGTCTTCTTCAGTGTAACTTCTGGTTGAGGTTGGTGCAGGTCTTTGATGTTGAGCTTGGGATTTGTACCATCAGCCTTGCACGCGTCTAAATATCTGAGAACCACCACTGGTTTAGATTCTATCTCAGAAAATAAAGGAAAGTCACTCAGTGGGACTCTTCTGCTGGTGATGTCAGCAGTGGGAGTAATGCTGGGTTCCTTTCTGATATTCTCTATTAACTTCATTTTCTTCAGATTCTTCGTGTTCAGAGGCTTCCCAACCGTTGGTTCAATGGTGCTTAACTCTTGAGCTTCTATCAGGTGCTCTATCAGCCTATTCTCAGTCAGAATATCTGATATCAGCCTTACAAAGGGTATCCAATCCCTCTTTGTTCTTTCTTCTTCCCTGGTTTCCTTCACGCTTGTTCTAAGGTGATTAAACAGAAAATGAGCCAAGTTGATTTTTACCTTCTGATTGATAAAATAGATCATAAACTGCTGATCTATATTTATGTAATCAGGGGAACTAGTTGGCTTCCTATGATTAAAACACCCATGAATTATCTTCGCCCAAACTCTGTGGTGATCCTTGAGGTCTCTGATTTTGCTGCTGGGCACCCAAGGGTGAAAATCTGTTCTGCTATGACACCAATGTCAGAGCATCTTTCAGCCATGTCAATACAGCGGACGCCACCGCCACTCTAACCAATCAACTTTGCTATGTGATCCTCAGTGATCACAATCTTCTTCCCCATTATGTAGGAGGTGACTTGATGTGTTGAAGAAGTTGCATGAATCCAGAACTCCTTGACTAACGTTGGGAATGTTGGTCCAACCAACCTGTCTAAATACCTTTCCCATTTCTGTGCCCTAACTTCTTCTGTTAAATCAAAACCATTCTCTTTCAGACTGCCAAAATCAATAATTAGTTCAGATAACACTTCAAGATTCTTCACTGGAGTAAGGAGTGTTCTGAATGGAACTTGGTACTGTTCAGAGGAAGCTTTCTTCTGAGAACCTGCAGAAGCACTGCTGGAGGTTGCCATGTTCACACTTAGGGTTTTTCTAAGAAACTGAGAAAAAAAGGTTTAAGATTGAAAGAGATGAACACAGAGAGAATGCAGAAAAATATTTGAGAGATAATGAGAAACTGTAAAAGATTAATGTGAGAAATTAACGTTCTTAAATAGGATTCAGAATATTTTGAAAGTGTAAACGTTTTCAAGAGAGAGAAATAAAATCATGATTACGTTTTAAAAACATGATTACTTTCATTTAATGCTTGCTGATTTTGGGGGATTTGAGAAAGATACTTAAAACGGTTACCAGACATGTGTCTCAATGCACCCAATCAGCGTTTTGCCTTCTCAGAAGCATGCACGCGTTCTTCTTCAGAGATTTGCTGATGATTGGATGACACTTGTTTGATTTAGTGATCAGCATGTCTATCTTTGAGCTGAAACGCTCAAATCTTTAAGACTAGCATCTGATACAATCTGCATGTTCTATCTTTCTGAAAAGAGATTGATCAGAAGTTCACAGTAAAACAAATACAATCTGAAGATAAATATATGGAATTAAATCATTTTCACTCTGGGCAGATTTTCATGCTGAGATGTTTCAGAATGAAATTGAACCTATCTTCAGAAAGGGGTTTAGTGAAGATGTCAGCCCATTGATGGTCTGTATCTATAAATTATAAGTTCAAAATTCCTTTCTGAATATAGTCCCTAATGAAATGATGTTTTATTTCTATATGCTTAGCTCTAGAATGTAAAATAGGATTCTTACTTAAGCAAATAGCAGAAGTATTGTCACAGAGTATAGGGATGTTACTCTCAAAAATCTGGAAGTCTTCAAGCTGACTTTTCATCCAGAGCATTTGTGTGCTACATCCTGCTGCTGCTATGTACTCAGCTTCTGCTGTTGATAGCGCAATTGTGGATAGCCTTTTGCTGGACCAAGAGATCAGATTTTCTCCCAGAAACTGGCAGCTTCCAGAAGTACTTTTACGCTCCACTCTGTCTCCAGCAAAGTCAGCATCGCAGTAGCCTACTAAACTGTAATCACTAGATTTTCTATAAAACACACCCAGATTAGTAGTACCTTTCAGATACTTGAAAATTCTCTTAATAACTGTTAAGTGAGATTCTCTAGGATCTGATTGGAATCTAGCACAAATACATACGCTGAATAATATATCAGGTCTTGAAGTTGTCAGATAAAGGAGAGAACCAATCATACCTCTGTAGACTTTCTGTTCTACCTTTTTGCTTACCTCTTCTCTTTCCAGAATGCACGTGGGATGCATTGGAATCTTTGATGGCTTACATTCTGAGAGGTCAAATTTCTTCAGAAGATCTCTGATGTATTTGCTCTGATGAATGTAAGTTCCCTCTGGAGTTTGATTGATCTGAATTCCTAGAAAGAATTTCAGTTCCCCCATGAGGCTCATCTCAAATTCTTCCTGCATACACTTAGCAAATTTTCTTCCAAGAGAAGGATTAGTAGAACCAAAGGTAATATCATCAACATAAATTTGACAGACTAAGATGTCATTCTTAACTGATTTACAGAATAAGGGAGTGTCCACCTTCCCTCTGGTGAATCCATTTTCTAACAGAAAGTTACTTAGTCTTTCATACCAAGCTCTGGGAGCTTGTTTCAGACCATATAGTGACTTCTTTAGTTTGAAAACATGTTCTAGATGTTTTGTATTTTCAAAACCAGGGGGTTGGTGCACATAAACCTCTTCTTCTATATAACCATTTAAGAATGCACTCTTGATATCCATCTGATACAGAGTGATGCCTCTATTAACAACAAATGAAATTAAAAGTCTGATAGACTCTAACCTGGCGACTGGGGCAAAGGTTTCTGTATAGTCTATCCCCTCTTGCAGACTATAACCTTGTGCAACCAGTCGTGCTTTGTTTCTGATGACTTCACCTTGTTCATTTAGCTTGTTTCTGAAGACCCATCTTGTTCCAATGACATTGAATCCTTTTCGTCTGGGAACAAGATCCCATACGTCATTTCTGGTGAACTGATTCAGCTCTTCTTGCATTGCCAGAATCCAGTCATTATCCAAAAGTTCTTCATCAATAGAAGAAGGTTCAATCAGAGACACAAGTCCCATGAGGGTTTCTTCAGAGTTTCTGAAGCTTGCTCTTGTTCTGATTGGATCTTCCTTTCTTCCTAAGATAGTCTCTTCTGGGTGATCCAAGCTGCTTCTGGGTAATCTCTTCTGAGGTTAATCAGCAGTTGTTGTAGGATTGCTGGCAGTGCTCCTTTCAGACGTTGAAGGAGTGTCTGTGTTGAGAGCTTCTGATGACTTGTCTTCAGAACCTGTAAATTCAATTTCCATACCTGCAAAAACATCATTCTGCTTTGACTTTTTAGAGTCAAGCTTATCATCAAAACAAACACTGATTGATTCTTCCACAATATGTGTTTCTGTATTGTATACTCTGTACCCTCTTGAGCGTTCAGAGTATCCTAACATAATACACTTCTGTGCTATAGAGTCAAACTTGTTCAAATAATTCTTTGTATTTAACATAAAATAGGTACATCCAAATGGATGAAAATATGAAATGTTGGGCTTTCTATTCTTCCACAATTCATATGGAGTCTTTTCCAGAATAGGTCTTATTGAGATCCTATTCTGAATGTAGCACGCTGTGTTTATTGCCTCTGCCCAGAAGATCTTAGCAACGTTTGTCTCATTGATCATGGTTCTGGCCATTTCTTGCAATGTTCTGTTCTTTCGTTCTATAACTCCATTTTGTTGGGGAGTTCTAGGACAAGAGAAATCATGCAGAATGCCTCTGTCATTAAAGAATGACTCAAAGTCTTTGTTTTCAAAGTCTTTGTTTACAGAAGGTACCAAACACAGAGTGTGACTCGTCCTTGTGTCTTAAGAACTTTACCCATGTCCATCTGCTATAGTCATCTATGATTACTAACCCATACTTCTTGCCACTGACTGAAGCAGTTTTAACTGGTCCAAACAAGTCAATGTGCAGAAGTTCTAATGTCTTAGAGGTAGAAACAACATTTTTAGATTTAAAAGAAGGTTTTGCAAACTTTCCTTTCTGACATGCTTCACACATAGCATCTGAATTGAACTTCAAATTAGGAAGTCCTCTGACCAGATTGAGTTTGTTAATCTGAGATATTCTTCTCATACTAACATGCCCCAATCTTCTGTGCCAGATCCACTGCTCGTTGTTAACAGACAGAAGGCACTTTACATTTTGACTTTTCAGTTCAGAAAGTTTGATTTTGTAAATGTTGTTTTTCCTCTTTCCATTAAACAGGATAGTCCCATCTTTCTAACTAACAGCTTTACATGATTTTTGATTAAAGATTATATCATAACCGTTATCACTTAATTAACTTATGGATAACAAGTTATACATTAATCCATCTAATAGCGGAACATTATTAATAGAGGGAAGATTTCCATTACCTACAGTTCCAGAGCCAATGATCTTTCCCCTCTGATTGCCTCCAAAGCCAACGTGGCCTCCAGGCTTAAGTTCCAGGCTTTGGAACATATGCCTTCTTCCCGTCATGTGTCGCGAGCAGCCAGAGTCCAGGTACCATGACTGGGGTTTCTGATTTGCTGCTAAAGATATCTGCAACATGTATTATTTTATCCTTAGGTACCCTGATTTTCTTGGGTCCTGATTTGTTAGATTTACCAAAACTCTGGTTGAATTTTGGTTTCACAGAGTACTTACTGCTAGTGTATTTAATATCATGTGTGTGACCATACACAAAATGTGAATTTAGAGGAGTGTGTTTAATGGTTAAATCCATGACATTCTTTGGTGTAGGAACCTTACCTTGGTATCCTATTCCCTTCCTGTCGTTTCTGCTAACTCCATAGATCATTGAAGCCATTTTGCTTCTATCTATGCTTTTAGCAAGGAACTTCTGGAAACTGTGTTCATACTCCTTGATGATCTCATCAGCGTTGCTGGGAGTTTCAGAAATTGGTTCCTTCTGAGAGTTTTATAAGGTATTTTCTAATTTTGAAATTTTAATTCTCAGCTCAGAATTCTCCAATTTAAGACTCTCAGTCTTATTAGAGTCAGATTCAAGATTCCTTTTCAGGTCTCTGAATTTAACTCTAATCTGCTGATACCTTTCCAGAATTTGATTAAGGCTTTCAGCAAGTTCAGCCTTGATAAAATTAACAGCAAAGTCAGGAAATACCTCTTCAATATCTGATTCTGAGTCTGATTCAGAAGCTTCACTATCTTCTGAAATGTTGGCCATGAGAGCTATGTTGGCTCTCTCATCATCTGATTCCGAGTCAGCTTCAGACGAGTCAGAGTCATCCCATGTAGCCATGAGACTTTTCTTCTTTTCTCTTCCAAACTTCTTTTTGGGCTTTTCCCTCTGAAGCTTTGGGCAGTCACTCTTGTAGTATCCTTGCTCATTGCACTCATAGCAGATGATGTCCTTGGTGTTTGGCTTTCTGCTTCCTGAGGATCCTTCAGATCTTCTGTATCCAGAGGAAGAATCTATCCATCTGTATCTGGAAGAAGACTCGTTCTGATCAGATCTTCTGGGATTCCTGAACTTCCTTTGCCTCTTCTTCCATAGTTGATTCACTCTTCTGGAGATGAGGGAGAGTTCGTCTTCTTCTGATGAGGATCCATCAGATGTTTCTTCAACTGCCTGCAAAACTTTAGACTCAGATTTTTTGTTAGATTTTAATGCTAAAGGCTTACCTTACTTCTAGGGTTCATCAGCTTCTAGCTCTATCTCATGACTACTGAGGGAGCTGATAAGTTCCTCCAGAGAAATTTTGTTGAGATCTTTTGCTAGCTTCAGAGCTGTAACCATTGGCCTCCACTGCTTGGGTAAACTTCTGATGATTTTCTTAACGTGATCAGCAGTAGAGTAGCCTTTGTCCAGAACCTTGAGACCAGCTACCAGAATCTAGAATCTTGAGAACATTGTTTCAATGGATTCACTTTCTTCTATTTTGAACGCCTCATACTTCTGAATGAGCGCCAGAGCTTTAGTT